GGTTCGGCCTTACCGACCCCACGGCTGTGTGTCAGCAGCAGGGAGCCCGCGGGCCCCCAGCGTCTCACCACAAACACTGGCGACGCTGCGACACATTTATTTATTTATTTATTTATCCTCACCCAGGATATTTTTTATTAATTTTTAGAGAGAATAGAAGGGAGGGATGGAGGCGAAATAAAAAATATTTCTTTTAAAAAAAGAAAAAGCATAATAGTGCCCACAGGTGCCTCTCATTAAGGAGGGTGTTTTTCCACGGCACGTGGGCCGAGAGGGAGCGGAGATGAATGGAGTCGTTTAACGGCCGGGCTTCCCGTGGCTGCTCATTCTCCGGCTCCGGCGTGGCCTGTGCTGGGAGCCGCGGGGGCGCGGGAACCTGCTGGGGTAACAGCTCCGCGCTGAGCCCGTGGCGAAGGCCTGGGTGGGGTTGAGAGAGAGAGAGAAACATCGATGTGAGAGACCTATATTCATGGCCTCGCACAGGCTCCCCAACCGGGGCCAGGGATGGGACCTGCAACCCAGGTACGTGCCCTTGTCGGTGCCGGGTGACCTGGGCAGCCGTGATCGAAACTGCGACCCTGCGGAGCTCGGGCAGACGCTCTAACCACCTGGACGCACGGGCCAGAGGCTGACCTGCATTTGTAACGGGCTCGCTGGATCGGGCCGCGCCTGCCGCCCCCCGGGTCCGCGATGAAGTGCGTTAGGGCCTCCATGGGTGTGAGACACAGATAAGGGAATAATGAGATAATAAAGAATTCACTCACTGCCCGGGCCGGCGGGCTCAGGGGCTGAGCGTCGACCTATGAACCAGGAGGTCAGGGTTCGATTCCCGGTCAGGGCCCAGGCCCGGGTTGCGGGCTCCATCCCCAGTGGGGGGCGTGCAGGAGGCGGCCGATCCATGATTCTCTCTCCTCATGGATGTTTCTGTCTTCCTCTCCCTCTCCCTTCCTCTCTGAAATTAATAAAATTATGTAGTTTTTTAAAGGTAAAGTGTTTTGTTTGTTTGATTTTTTCAACTTTGAAGCAACGTTATCTTTTGGTTCCCGTGCACTGCTGGACCAAAGGACTTAAAATCTCGGCTAAAAAAATAAATAAAATAAAATAGATCCATGAGCCCGTCCCACAGACGCTGAGCGCGGGAGGGAGCGCGCGGGTAACACCAGGGCACCAGGAAGAAGGTCTCAATGTTTATTTCCATGTTAAAAAGGACTGCTACCCTGTGGTTAGAATATACTTTATGCTGGAAGATGGAGTCGCTTTATTTCTGAAATAATTCCAGAAAAAAAGAAAAGGAAAAGGGAAAACCACCCGGAAGTCATGACGCGTGAGATTGAAACGTCCCGGCAGGTCCCAGCGACCGCCCCACGCACACCACCCCCTCCCGGCACCTCCCGGACCCCATGCCCTTCGCGGTGCCGCCATCAGGCCACACGCCGAGCCCGGCGCCTGCACGTGTCCGCGCTCAGCTCTGCATGCGTGTATTTGAAAGGTGCGCATCCCCACACGCCTGGAGCGTCCCGTGTGCTGCTTACATGACACACAGACACCTCTGCTGTCCATGTGTTAGCATGACTCCGCCCCCGGTCCCTCCCACGCCTGGGAACACGGTCACCCACACGTGTGTGCGTTGTCGGCCGGACGGCTGCTGGGCGTGGAGGCCACCGGGACGCGGTGGACAGAGACCAGACGGAGAACGGAGAGCATTTTTGAGATGCTCGGAGCAGAAAACCCGGGACGGGGGCGACGACAGGGGGGACCCACCGAGGGCAGTGGAGTGTCCCCGCCGACAGATAGACAGACAGAGCCTGGGGGGCCGCACCCCAACATCGGAGAGCCGCTCCAACACAGCGGACTTGGTGAGCCTGACCAGTGAGCCAGGCGCCTCCTGCAGTGGACGGTGTGGGGGGCAGGCGCGGACCCCGCTTCCCCCCGTGGGGGTCTGTGCATAGACACCCCGTCCGTGTAGAGGGGTCATTCCAGTCGGCCCGGGAGGTTAGGGTTCCCTCCTGGGGCGCTGGAGCTGGGGGACCCCGGCCTCCAGGTGGCTGCTCCTCCTTCTCTCCAGGCCGCTCCCCGGGGCCGTCTGGGAACCGGGCTCGGCTGTC